GTCATTGTTGTTTTTGGCGAGCCCAGGCTGGATTCGAACCTGCCAGCTTAGGTGTATGTGGCTGGTGCCCATATATTCTTGTTGTAAAGTACATTAGATAGGTAAATAACTTTATGAAGTATTATGGCCATGCTGTCAGAATCCCTTAAATTGCTTCACCTGAAAACCAACCACCCAACTCCTAATAGAAATAACTAAATAGACTCAGAATCATATTGCCATGGACGTACCACTCTGAATTACTCAAACAAGAGTGACAGACCCAGGTAGCAGGTATAATAAAGACTAAGTTGATATATTTAGAAGTCTTATGGTATTTGAAAGCAAAGCACAAAATGCCTTATTACAATGGAAATTAGACCATCTGTGCTTATTTATATCTGGATTGTATAATAGTTACCATCATTAAACCTGATCCATTTATGAGCTATAATTATGACCCAGCACACGGTCAGTTGAATTACAGCTGTAGGGTCTCTCTAATTTTAGAAACATTCTTTTCTTTTATTTTTAGGAAATACACACAGAAAAAGGGGCACCATGCCACGCATTATTCTAAGTGGTTCAGAGAATATATTATGTAAATATGTGCATGTGTAGCTATATACACATACACATGCACATATAACTATGGAGAGAGAAAAAATAAAGCAAGTGCAGTAAGAAACTGTTAGACTGTTGTGAAAAATATCTTTTATGTTTTCTATAAGCTTGAAATTACATAACTTTTTATTTTTTTTCCAGTTTTTGGCTGGGGCCGGGTTTGAAGCCTTTGAGCCACAGGCACCACCCTAACTTTTCTTTTTTTTTTTATTTTAATAGAAAAGAAACCTTCCAGATTATCAATCAGAAGGTAACTTTGGTAGAATTGTAGGTAGTCTCTATAAATGAAAAAAGGGCGCCAGCCACATACAGTGAGGCTGGCGGGTTCAAACCCAGCCTGGTCCTGCCAAGCAACAGTGACCAACCAAAAATAATAGCCAGGCATTGTGGCGGATGCCTGTAGTCCCAGCTACTTGGGAAGGCTGAGGCAAGAGAATCACTTAAGTCCAAGAGTTAGAGGTTGCTATGAGCTGTGACTCCACAGCACTCTACCAAGGGTGGCATGAGACTCTGTCTCAAAAAATAAAAAATAAAAAAAAAAGAATAAAAGTAAAAAAAGAAAAAAAGAAAAGAAAAGAAACCTTCCAGATTATCAATCAGAAGATAACTTTGGTAGAATTATAAGTAGTCTCTATGAATGAAACTAGGGGGGCAGTGCCTGTGACTCAGAGGAGTAGGACGCAGGCCCCATATGCTGGAGGTGGCGGGTTCAAACCCAGCCCCGGCCAAAAACTGCAAAATAAAAAACAAAAAACAAAACCAGAGACAAGGAGGTATAACATAGATTTCCACAGCAGGGATGACTTCCATCTGTAATATTTTTAGTATCGGTTTTATGCCACACCTAACATAAAACCATGTTTATAGCATTAATTATATTATGAAACAAACAGAATTACTGTTTATACTACATATTTGTTATACTCGTTTTGCATTTAAATTATAGGCCTGGGGAAAATAAGCCCAACTCAGAATGTCTCTTTATTATCTCTTTTTGTTCTGTACATGTCTTTCTTATCATCTTATCTCTAGGAAGTGGGGCATATCTCATAAACTGAAAAAGAAAGAATAGACTAAGAGGTAATTATTTGTTCACTAGAGGAATGTTTTATTTTCCTAAACATTTCCGTATAAATTTCCACTAAGAATTAATAAGCTCACCAGTTTAATTGATGGCCCCCTTTCGTTCCTTAGTAACATGATCACAGAAGACCCTACGTCGTCATTTCAAGCGCCCACTGTGTGGATGGATGCTGACTTCTAGAAGCAGTGGGCTTGATTATAGCATTGACTTTGAATTTTGGCTGTGCTGAAGTGTGGGGATGAGCCAGTATTTAGTGGATAACCTGGGGCCTGAGTGTTAGACACAGGCTCTCTATTTAAAGTGCTAATACTGTGATCAGTGGTTCTCAGTGGTACTCATTCCAGAAAGTTCACGGGAGACCTGTGGGGGGATTTTTGTGTCCCAGCAATTGGGGGTGATTTAGCATTTAGCAGAACTTGTGACACTCCATACCCTGCAGTGCGGGGCTCAAGGTGAAGGCATTTCCCACTCAAAGGACCATTGGCACCTCCACAGTGGCCCGGGATCTAGCCCAGGGCCAGCCTCCTGACTCTGTGACCCTACCGAGGTCCATCCCTACATCTGTTAAATGCTGTCCTGAGATCCTTGTAACCTGAATGGCTGCCAGATGGCAGTGCTCACTGCTAGGTCGCCCAGCCTATGTTGTCCAGAAGGGGACAGAGATCTCCATAGGTGACACGATAACTTGCTTTGTGCCCTGTCCTTCTCCTGGTGCTTGGTGTTCCAGGCTTGGGGTTCAGCCTCTGTGAACCCTCACTCCTCATATTTCTTAGCCCTTATGGAGTCATGAAAGGGGTGGTGTTGTCAGAAAAGTCTGGTGTTGTCTTAGGCTGCAGGTGTGGGTCCTCTCGGAGTGAGCTGACCCTTCCTTCTAGACTTCAGGGGGAAAAAAAAGGGCAGGAAGCACGTTGCTGCTTGGCTTTTTCTCTGACTTCTGGAATTCTTTTTTTCTTTTTTTTTTTTTTGCAGGTTTTTTTTGGGCCAGGGATGGGTTTGAACCCTCCACCTCCAGTATATGGAGCCAGTGCCCTACTCCTTTGAGCCACAGGCGCCGCCCTGGAATTACTCTTTTTAAATGTCTTTAGCTGCATAATTTCCATAGACAAATTTAAAAATCAGTTACAAGTTTAATGGAAGTGATTTTCGGTGATCTCTAATGAGAATTAAAAAATTGGTCTTAATTTTTTTCCAGTGGAAGTTACATAACACTCTGTGTGTGTTAATATTTTTTATACTTACCCAGCTGAAATAATTCCAGGGGGCAGGCATGGGCGGGGCCGGGGGGGGGGGAAGTTAGTGTCATTCTGCTACTCAGGATATGGGTTTAAGTCACACCTTTCAGAGCCTTTGGTTTCAGTAGCTTCTTGGGCAATCTTAGGAAAAACATGGCCCTGTTCTCCTCTTTGGGGTTTAAATAATTAATTAAAATGCTTTGGTTTTTATTATCCTGGAAGATATTTTCAAAATATGTACGGCCTAGCTGTGAAAGTTTTATCGCCGTAATCTCACTAGAGCTAATTTGTTGACTGTGAATCTATTATTAGCCAAACTTCCCCTGGCGAGGCATCACACACCATTATTTCTATACCCTGCCTTCTAAAAAGGAGCATGATTAACATTGTGGAATCAGTACACCTCTGCTTACAGTGACCTTGTTCCTGGGGAGACCACCTGGGAGGCCCGTTCTGACTCTTAAGGAGACTTTTTTGAAGCCAACTACCTTAATAAAAGCCAATCCAACTAAAGTTTTTGGGTGGCTGTCATTTAAAAGGAAGTAAAGAGAAGCAAGGCTTGTATCTCTGAACACAGTCAGCAGTACGAAAGTCATGTGTATATGTGTGTGGTTTTAATTCATTACTAAAAAGGAATGCTTTAGAGAATCAAACAAATTGAAGCAGCTAAGAATTAAATTTCTCATATTCAGAATCTCCTCTGAGTTTCTCCTGTGACTCAGCCTTTCAAAACTTCTTTGCCCTGGGCTATCCAGCCATAGTGTCCGTCTTTCTCTCTCTCTCACCCACCCCTTCCTAAGTCCTCAATAAGAGTCACTCTGTGAGCCTTTATGAATTTAAGCCATTGAGGAGGAGGCAAGAAGGGAGACCTTTATACTCCACCAATTTTGACTCTTTCTCCAAAGACACAATTGTCTGGCATCTTAGAAATGTCCCTATAGTTAGTGTCATGTGAGAAGTTCCTAAGCTCAGCAAAACATTTGTTCTGGTCCTGCAGTGCTGCCAGAAAAATTGGGGTAATTACTTTATCCATCACGCACCTAAATTATAGCAAGGAAATAAAACACGTTAACATTGTTAACATTTCCTTCCAGCAAAAGCCTGTGGGGCAGGGTTAGGGCCTGCATGATTCTAAACTGTAGCTACTCCTGGTCAACCACCCTAGACACTGTCACGCAATTTCAGATACTTACGGATTACAGGACAGGGTGAAACAGGAGTGATTGTGAGCTCTTTACTGAAGCTGGCTGATGCCGCATGGGGTGTGTACTGCTAGTGTCTACTTTTAGAAAATGTTTTGCATAATGAAAGCTTAAAATACTTTGTTAAACTAAATGAAAATTAGAAACAGATATTGGGATTTCTGCTTAAAAACACTTTATAGTAGAGTGATCTTGTCAGCTGTGATGTTATCATACTTCTTAGCCAATCATGTGATATATACAGGGCAGCCGTGAAGCTCAGGTGCAGTTTAAAATAGTTGTCTGTCACACCTGTCATTCCAGTGCTCTGTGAGGCTAAAGCAGGTGGATTGCCTGAGCTCAGGAGTTCAAAACCAGGCCGAGCAAGAGTGAGACCCCATCTCTAAAAAAACAGCCAGGCATTGTGGTGGGCACCTGTAGTCCCAGCCACTCAGGAGGCTGAGGCAAGAGGATTGCTTGAGCCCAAGAGTTTGAGGTTGCTGTGAGCTGTGATGCTACGGCACTCTACCCGGGGCAACAAAGTAAGACTCTGTCTAAAAAAATAAAATAGTTGTCTGTTTTAAATTGCACACAAACTTTACAGCTGTGTGTGTGTGCGTGTGTGCACACGGGCGCACATGTGTGACTCATTTGGCATTCTCATCCCCTACTAGGAAATACTCTCCAAGAAAGCAGGAACTATGTCACTTTTATTTATCACTGTCACACGGGGCCAGGAACAGAAATTTCAGTTCAGTAGACAGCCACGGAGTAAATAAAATGAGTCCACGACTACTAACTAGGAGACTTTTCTTTTTGTTCTTTATTTTAGTTGCAGAATTAAGAAAAATCTTTGAACCAAAGAGGAAAGAATTTTTAGAGATGAAAAGGTAAGATAATTGTCGCACAGAATTAGGCAGTGGAAGTTTTCCTTTCGCGCTGACTGCCTTTGTTCACTGTGCCTTTTCTGGTGTGCCGCGCAGAAAAGAAAGAATTGCCAGGCGCCTAGAAGGAATCGAAAATGACACCCAGCCCCACTTCTTGCAGAGCTGCACGGGGCTGGTGACTCACCGTCTGCTGGAGGAGGACACGCCTCGGTACATGCGAGCCACCGACCCGGCCAGCCCCCACATTGGTGAGCACGCCCGTCCTCAGCCAGGCTGCTGGGCTTGTTACACACTCATTGCCTTTTTTATCTAGTGGTATCAAAAAGTGGGGTATTCCACAAAAGCAACCTGTGTGCACATAATCATTTTATTCCATGCATTTATTAAAAATAGCAACCACACATATGTCAGCACCCCACCCCACACCCCCCACCCCCGTCACAGACACGGTCCTCCTGTATCATAGTAGGAAGAAATGTTAACCTTTGGCACTTGTCGGGTAACCGATGATCTTTCATTTCTTGCCATAGACCGAGGCCCCTCAAAGGTGGAAACTTATCTTTCTGCATCCCCCAGGCTCAGCCCAGGATCTATGGTCAGAGCCCTTTAGCAAATGTTTGTCCGGGAAAGGAATGAATGAAATAGGTAGCTCACTGTTCTCATAGCAAGTTTAGACTGAACACCGAGGTGCCAAGCATAGGCAGCCCCTGCTCTCAGCAGAGAGTTAAAGGCAAACTGGACCCTGAATGATTAGGGTACTTATCCTAAGTGTTTATGCAACAGAACATTCTGTTGAAATTACTTTAACGTATGCACTTTTAAATGTGTTGCTTATTTATTTTATACGAAACAGTACCTCGAGCCAGCATAACTGAGCTTTTCCTTGATTACTCAGAGTCACCATTATGGGCAGGTAATATTCAACTTGACCTTTGGAGAGGATGATGTATGCAAGGCTGCACTTCCCACCCAACCCCACTGAGGCTCTGTGCTACTGCTTTTTACAGTCAGTGTTTTCTAATTTCTTCCCGAGTAAGGGCTACTGCTCCCACGTCATGATGTTATCAGTTTGCTAATCTCTGCGGTTTGTAATTTTCTGTGGCCACAAAACTAGAAAACTCAAATAGTTTAAAACTTACTTGCAGGAGAAATCAAAAATATACATACCTGAGTACCAAAATCGATAGCCAGAAATAGACCTCAGTGTATATAAAATGTCAATCTATGTGTAGTATATGATCGTTTAAACACCATGTATTAGTGAGAAATGGAAGAATTTTGTAATAAAATAGTACTGAAAAAATAGGTTCATTGTGGGGTGGGGTGGGCATCTTCCTCCTCTCACTTCCTACCAAACCCCAAAATCAGTTTCAGTGACTTGTGTGATAAATTTGAAGGAAATAATTGAAAACAAGTGAACGATAAGTGAATATTTAATTCGAGTGGAAAAGGGTTTTCTAAGCATAGAAACAAATAGCCAAAGAAATCACCAAATGAACAGGTCAGTTGACTTGACTACATGACAATTTATATCTGGACTTAGAGAAAATGTTATACACACATAGACTCTACAACAAAATCAAACCACAGCAAGTCTGAAAATATCCATGAAGGTGACAAGGGCTAATATTCCTGTAAAAGCTTAGGTAAAACAGGGCAGTGCCCATAATTCAGTGGGTAGGGTGCCAGCCACATACACCAGAGCTGGAGGGTTTGAACCCAGCCCGGGCCTGCTAAACGACAATGACAAGTGCAACCAAAAAATAGCCAGGCATTGTGGCAGGCACTTGTAGTCCCAGCTACTTGGGAGGCTGAGGCAAGAGAGTCTCTAAACCCGAGAGTTTGAGGTTGCTGTGAGCTGTGATGTGACAGCACTCTACTGAGGGCAACAGCTTGAGACTCTGTCTCAAAAAAGAAAAAAAAAACTTACATAAATTAGTAAATGGAACACTATGAATCAACAGAAGATAAAACAAAGTTTAGGCAGACATTCCAGAAAAGAAAAAGAGAATACAGATAACTAATAAACAAATAAAAATGCATATTTCTAGTAATTGAAGTCAAATTTTTATGTTTTTTAGTTTTTTAGTTTTTGAGACAAGAGTTTCATTTTGAGTGCTTTGGCATTATAGCTCACAGAAACCTCAAACTTGTGGGCTCAAACAGTCTTCTTGCCTGAGCCTCCAAATAGCTGGGACTACAGGCATGAGCCACCATGCCTAGCCAAAGTCAATTTGGGGGTTTTTTTATATAGAGTCTCACTATGTTGCCCTCAGTAGAGTGCCCTAGCATCACAGCTCACAGCAACCTCAAACTCTTGGGCTCAAGCAATTCTCTTGCCTTAACCTCCCAAGTAGCTAGAACTATAGGCACCTGCCAGAATGCCTGGCTACTTTTAGAGAGAGGGTCTTGTTCTTGCTCAGGCTGATCTCTAACCTGTGAGCTCAGGCAATCCACCTGCCTTGGCCCCCCAGAGGATTACAGGAGTAAGCCACTGCGCCTGGCCCCAAAGTCAATTTTTTTAAATAAAATGTCAGTGTATATGAGGAAACATATATTGCAGATACAAGTATAAATTCAGGCAGACTTTATAGAAATTAATTTGACAGTCTAGCAAGTGTCTTAAGATGATGTACCCATTGATAAAGCAATTCTACTTCTTTTTTTTTTTTTTTTTTAGACAGAGCCTCAAGCTGTCACCCTGGATAGAGTGCTGTGGCATCACAGCTCACAGCAACCTCCAACTCCTGGGCTTAAGCAAGTCTCTTGCTTCAGCCTCCCAAGTATCTGGGACTACAGGTGCCCACCACAACGCCCTGCTATTTTTTGGTTGCAGTCGTCATTGTTTTTGGTGGGCCCGGGCTGGATTTGAACCTGCCAGCTCAGGTGTATGTGGCTGACGCCTTAGTCACTTGAGCCACAGGCGCCGAGCCAGCAATTCTACTTCTATGAGTTCGTTGTGATACTAATCAGAAAATCAGACTGGTTGGAAGTTAGAAACAACCTAAATACCCAACAATATGGGAAGAGTTAAATTAATTGTGGAATGCCTATTAAGTAGACTCTTAGGAAGCCTTAAAAAATTATGTCTTCAAAATAAGATTTCCAGATATAGGAACATATTTCCTATAGAACTTTAGTCACATTGAATATTTTTGATAGGAATAAAGGAGAGCAATCAACTCTATAAAAGACTAGAAGGAAAGTACATCAAGATATCAGGTTACTAGGGCTGTGGTTATTGGTGATTTGGGGTTTTACCTTCCTATTTTCATGTTAGACATTTTCTACATCAAACATTCTACAATTGGAAAAGGACATTTCTGCTCAAAATAAATAAACCTGGTGAACATCTTTGGTGGGCCATCTTGTTATGGTTACTGTCAGATCATGTGAGGCCACAACCCATCCCTTGTCAAATTACAGCAGTTCAGTTGCCTCCCTTGTTTTCTAGAAAACTGTGAACTCATCTGGTGGCATCGCATGTGACATGTTAAACTCACAAAAGAAAATAAGAGATAAGTAAAGGGAAATAGTCAGGGTCTGATAAGGTCTGGGGAGTGCAGGGGCTGAATTGTAGTCTAAGACTTGCCTCCCGTGGCTCAGAGCCTGGGGCCCATTCACAGCCTTCAGCTATGTGTGTCACTGCAGATCTCAAGCTTCTTTAGAAGCCCAGGTAAATCATTCCAGATAAACACACCGTGTGAGAAGTTGGTTCCTTATAGCACGGGTGCCCCAGCGCATCGAATACAGGGGAGAGCATCCTTAGGGGTGTAAATGAGTGTCCTTCTTTCCTTGAAATCTGTACGTATTGTCCATGTGGTCTTCCTGTAGGCCGATCAAATGAAGAGGAAGAAACGTCTGATTCTTCCGTAGAAAAGCAAATTCGATCCAAATACTACAAAGAAACCTCGGGTGTCCAGAGTGATTCGTCCTATGGTTCTAGTACCATGGACACCCACAGCCTGGAGTCCAAAGCGGAACGAATTGCGAGGTACAAAGCGGAAAGGAGGCGGCAACTGGCAGAAAAATACGGGGTGTCTCTGGATCTCGAAGCCGACTCGGCGGCAGAATATCTGTCTCGCTATTCCAAGTCCAGGAAGGATCCCGATGCCGTCGAAAAACGGGGAGGGAAAAGTGACAAACCAGAAGAGTCCAGCCGAGACTCGAGTTCTCCCTACCCTGGGAGTGAGACTGTGGGGCTCAGGACCTGTGCGGGTGAGTCCAAGGACTATGGCCTGTACGGGAGCGACAGTATGTCCGAGCAGGAGGTGCTGCTGAACGCAGAAAACCAAAGACGCGGTCAAGAGCTGAGTGCCAGGCGGCAGGCCCATGACCTGCCCCCAACAGTCGAGAGTTCTTCGACCTACGAGAGCTGTTCGACCTTCTCGTTCTCGGGGCGAGACTCCTTCACTGACGTGCCAAAGTCCCCAAAGCAGCTGCACACCTCGTCCCTGCAGCAGCCGGCGTCCCGGAGCCCCTCCACTGGCGACTCACTGGTATCCTCTGATGCCCGGCCCAGGTAAGCAAACAGCCCCCGCTGGCCACACACATGAGCCTTCTCCTTGCCATGAGCTAGAGTCTGGGTGTTCTTGGCATTGTGTGGATATCAAGGTTTATTGGAGAAATAACAAATGTGATGTGTGCTTTTTTTTCCTTTTATTTATTTACTTTTTTTTTTTTTTTTTATTGAGACAGGGTCTCATTTTGTGACCCTTGGTAGAGTGCCATGGCATCATAGCTCACAGCAACCTCCAACTCTTGGGCTCAAGCAATTCTCTTGCCTCAGCTTCCAAGTAGCCCACCACCATGCCTGGCTACTTTTTGTTGCAGTTGTCATTGTTGTTTAGCTGGCCCAGGCTGGGTTCGAACCCACCAGCCTTGGTGCATTGGCTGGCGCCCTACCCACTGAGCTACGGGCACCACCTTATTTCCCAATTTAGATGGGAGAGCTGTGTGGACCGTAATTACAGTGCAATTTACTTAAACATTCTGCTTAAAGGCTTGGGGAACTTGTAGACTCCTAAGTGTGTTTTTCAGTTCAAACAAGGGGTAGCTTCCCAGGTGAACTGGAAAAGGATGAGAACCAAAGTCCAAGCAACTTTGTGCTGAAAGAAGAAATATCTACAAAATGGGAAAATGCTCTTATTTGTTTCCCAATGGGAGAGAGGGGTGAACAGCTGGTCTCTCTCTGTGACAGTAATACATCAGAAGCAGGTTCTGCTAGTTATCGAAGTTTATTAAGCCAAAGGCCTGTGACCACATACTTCCTCATCCAGTCTGAAATATTTAGAGATATCAGCTTCTAAAAGAATTGAATATTATATAGGGTGGCACCTGTGGCTCAAAGGAGTAGGGTGCCGGCCCCATATACCCAAGGTGGCAAATTCAAACCTGGCCCTGACCCCCCAAAATTAAAATGTATTGAATATTATAGATCCCAAGAAGATATTCCAAGGGCCTCTTTGTTCAACTGTTGGACTAAATTACTTAAAACTTAGGGATTCTGACCTATTGTGTCATATTTTTTAAACGAGGAATTTTTGTTTGGGAAATTTGCAGTTCATAGTAGAACAGCCTTCTTGGTTTTTTAGTTGCTCTCTGTCAAAGCCTTCCTGTCTTTTGTGTGTGGGATTAAGAAACCTAACAGATACTAATTTAGAAAGAATAATAAAGATAAATAATGATATTGGTTTAAAAAAAATGAAGAATCTTATTTTAGATTGCCATATAATGACTTTTTAAGTTATTACAGTAACTAGCTTTAGTCACCTAGATCACACATTATAGATTTTCAGGAAGATTGCTGCATCAGTTGTAATAGTAATTAAAACTTTGTTGAAGGCTGGGCATGGTGGTGGCTTACGCCTGTAATCCCAGCACTTGGGAGGCAGAGGTGGGTGGATTGCTTGAGCTCACAAGTTCGAGACCAGCCTGAACCAGAGGAAGACCCCATCTCTAAAAAATAGCCGGGCGTTGTGGCAGGTGCCTGTAGTCCCAACTGCTTGGGAAGCTGAGTCGAGAGGATCACTTGAAGGCAAGTGTTTGAGGTCACTGTGAGCTGAGATGCCACAGCACTCTACCAAGGGTGACCTAGTGAGACTCTGTCTCAAAAAAAAAAAACTTTGTTGAGTATTTCATGTAAAAGGACAGGATACCCAATAGTTTTGTGTTGAGTTAAAATCTTAATATTCTAAAGTGTATTTAACGCGAAGTCTTAATACCTACATGAAAGCATTGTTGACTTATTTAGGCCTATAAGAAGACAAAGCCATTTCTATATAGGTTACTTGGAAGAAGCATATTACTGGAAATTTCCATAAGCCTAGCCTTAGCCTCACAGTGCTTTACCTTCATTTAAAAAAGGCTGAAAAGAATTAAGAAACTGTAATAGAATTCCAGAAGAGACATGGGCTATATTCTGTTGAAGCCAAAGTATAAAATTCGATGATTCATAGGCTAAGAAATATAAATCATTTCATATACATTAGAAAAATACCTGAGATCTATTTACATAAGGAAGGATGGAAAATAATGTGTAAGAAATTGGACCTTTAAAAATATTAACCTTTACTTTGTATTGACGATAGTTATTCAGCCTGTAAAAATGGATTTAAGATGGCTTAGCAATTCTGCTTAGATGTCCTTTATAGAGAGCCAGGAAATTCAAGTTTCAGAAAGCGATTGTTACCTGATTTCCACGGGGGAGGAAGTGAGACAAGCAAAAACTTGCTTTGCAACCTAAAACAGTAACAAAAGAAGCCTCCTCGGTGACCTAACTGGTTATAAATGAACATAATAATGTCATTTGATATGGAAATATGTAACAGGAAAGTTCGAGATTAAGAAGTAAGGAAAAGGTAGTCACAAATCATCATTTTAAGGCACTGCTTTTTTGTGGATTTGTTCTGTGACAGAAATGGAATATGTTTCTCGCTGCTATCCCATTGTCACCTAGCTCTGCCAAGTTTTTCAGCTGTTAAATCTCTGAATTAACTCATTCCCATTCCGTCATTTCATTTTGTCCAGGCTAACAAGGGGCTGTTTTTTATTTAAATATGAATACACCACTCATGAATAAATCATGAGAAGTGTCCTAGTGACCTAAAAATTCAAATATGAGACTCGGCACCCGTAGCACAGTGGTTACAGCGCCACCCACATACTCTGAGGCTTGTGGGTTCTAACCCAGCCTGGGCCAGCTAAACAACAATGACAACTGCAACAAAAAAATCGCTGGGTGTTTGTGACAGCCATCTGTAGTCCCAGCTACTTGGGAGTCTGAGGCAAGAGAATCACTTAAGCCCAAGAGTTTGAGGTTGCTGTGAGCTGAGAAGTCATAGCACTCTACCGAAGGCAACATAGTGAGACTCTGTCTCCAAAAAATAAATAAAAATAAATTCAAATCAGTCAGATTTCTAGCTCAGAGCTGCTAATGTGCTCACATACACTCATACCAGGTACAGAATAATCAAAAGTTCTTATATTCCACTGAACTATACTAAGTATTATAACCTAAATAACAATCTTTAGGATAATGTTTACCTAAGGACCAAATTTGTTTTGGAATTATTTAGTATTCGGTTTACATGATAAAGAAGATATTCTTCATTAATTGATCCGTTCATCGGTTGATATTACAGAGCAGTGTTTTTTAACCTTTTTTATCTCACAGTACACTTGAACCTATAGTTAAACCTCCCGTGGCACATTTAAAATATGTTGATCAAAAAAAAAGAGTAAGAAAAAGAAATACACAAACTATGCTCTGATCATCCTTCGAAAATAATTTAATTAACGTTTTTAGAAAATGCACATGGCATATCTAAGTTCCTCTCATGGCACACCAATTGAAAACCACTGTCACACGGGTCTTTAGCTCAGAAATCCTGCTAGTTGACCAGGAATTCAGATGAACATCCTATTCTAAAGAAAACATAGAATACGCACAGTAGCCAAAAAGACGAAAGAGAAAACAATAAAACAACCCCTCTCTCCCCAACCCACACCCCACACCACTCCCCAGCCCCCCCAACCCTCATCCCACACCACTCCCCACCCCCGACCCCCGCCAATCCCCACCTGTCCAATCCTTCTGAACTTTGTAAGCTTGGAATTTCAGAAGTCGTTTTCCCCAGGGAGATGATGTTACTGATATGACCCCTTCTTTTTCAATTCAGCCATTCAGGGGATTTTCTAATTCCCTTAGAATAAAATTCAAAGGGATTTGGGTCCTATGGATTATTCAAATTTCAAAAAAATCTGAACTCCTGCTGATATTAGAAATCCTGAATCCAAAGCTCTTGTTGAATTTGCTACTTTGGGCTTCTATTTTTTAACAAAGGAAATGCTCGTATTTGTTACTTCTATGAGTGGAGAAACTCTCCCCCTCAAGTCCCACGTCTGGGTTTCCTCAGCATCAGCTGTCACTGTCTGTTCTCAGTGGACAGTGTGACCGGCAGAGAGGAGAATGAACCAGAACTTACACCTGATGTTCTAGCGGCGATCCACCCCGGAGAACCCTTGTCAATCACTTTCCTTTTCATTACTCTACTGCGATCCGGCACCACATAGCAAATCGTGTTGTTAGTGGCCAGAACCTGAGTGATTATGGCGATTTCATGCAGAGCGGGAGGCTAAAATTGGACCCAGGGATCAGTTGCGGTGGGTGGATGATGGTTTGGGCAGGGCTCCCCGCAGACACCGGAGAGCCATGGATAGCTCAGGAAGACAGACCAGGGCACCCTGTGGAATGATGCTTTTCCTGTAACACCTTGGCCCACTGAACGTTGATGAAGCCATTAAGGAGGACAGGAGCTTCTGTGAGGCAGTTGGACTCATTTCCGTAGCATTTGCTCATCTCCTGATGAGAGGTTTGACTCCCAAAACTGTCTCCAGTGCCTCAAGCTCTCATGGCTGTAGTTTCTATGCACAAATAGACACGTCTCCAGGACAGCATCGTGCTGGCCCTTGTGCATCCTGTCCCAGCTCCTGTCTCGGCTGGCAGGCAGGTTCTCTGACATATGGTGCAGGGGACAGACAGAGCCTGGGAAACAACATCTCAGGAGCCACTCTATAAAGAAGAGACCACCGCTACCTCCTCACGGCTTACTCTATGACTAAAATAGATTCAGTTTCACCTTTCAGCTCCTGAACCCCCAGATATCTGTGCTCCCCACCTCGCTGTAGCAGCTTTGAGCTGTTCCTAGACAGTGAACTTATTCTCACTTTTGCATTTTGTTCTGCTGTCCCTGACAGGTGGCAATTCCTGCTCATTAGGTTAAATATAAATATATCACCCCAAAGCCTGGCTACAGTGTGCTCTAGTGAAACATTCAAACGTGTGCAGGATTTTAAATGCAGAATTGTGCCCTTGACCACGCGCCCTTGCATGTTAGGCACCTGTGCGTATGTGCAGAACAGGCCTTGACAGTGTTCCCGTACAAGCAACTTTTAGCAGATTAACTGTTAATTTTAATGCGATGAAGAAGTTAATAGCCATTCTTAATGTTTTATAATTAG